AAAGGGTATGAGGTAAATGGTATGATGTGTACGGTAGAATAGAGGTTGAGACAGCTAAATGAGGCAACGAGAAAGTTTAGCAATGCTCAATGCCTGTTGCATAGACTCCTTGTCGGTGTAGAGCAGTTGAAATAAGTAATGGTTGATATCCGTAGGGGGGGATGCTAACCGGGAAATGACGGGGATGATGTTGCAAGAAGGCCGGGCATGAGAGTAGTAGGTGTTGTATTGAGTGCGGAGCTCTATGACATGCTGGGCATGTAGAGGGTCGGGTAAATGGGAGCACACCAAGCCGTAGGCGGTACAACAGACTCTGGTCGTTGCGGGTGAAGGTGTGTAGGGCATCCGTATTCCAAGAGTAGCGTAGATGAGCGGCCGGAGACTCTGGTACCGGTTCTCCTGGCAAAGGTGAGCATTCCTCGTGCAGGCGATGGCGTTGTTGGAGATGGAGGCGAGCGAGAGTACTACTCCACGTTGCTCGAATGACTTATATTTAATTGACACTAGAAAGATCGATAGCACGTAATATAGCTAAGTGGGGACTAACGCCGTCATCGAGCCATCCTCGGTGATCACACTCGTAGAGTGGATGTATGAGTGATGGCAAGCCGGCCCCAGTTTCGATCTGGCCAACCTTGGCCAGTGACCCCCACGCCACGATCAGGCACTGGGACCAGTGGGGGCGGTCTGTGGCGGCTGCGTCCACTGAAACAACACGTGTTGGTTGGAAAATGAGGGAGAAAATGCGGTGTGCAGGGATCGAACCCGGGAATGATTATGCGTGCGGGAAATTTATGCGGAACGCCCAGTATGAATTTTAGTAAGTAGTTGCAGTATCTCTCGCCTATCGTATTTGAGATTTTGAAGGTGGCTAAGGTGTAGGATATCAACCTTGCTCTGTGGGATGACGGGAATAACCCTCATAAAATTGAGTGAACGTATGCATCTAGGCTCATGAGGTGGTGTGAATGCTGAGGAGTACTGAGAGTATCCGGCAAGGAGTAGGAGAGCTGACATACATCTTCTATCGACTTCATCATAATATTCATTTTCATAACATCTATTGTTGAGTTAGTTCACGTAAGGGTGAGCACACAGCTGCCTTGTAGGTGCTCTCGGTCATGTCCAGCAAGGAGGCAACCGGCAAAAGAGAGCCTCCATCACCAGCGGGCACGGTCAGCAGTAGTGGTGGTGGCGGTGTTGAGTCAGCGAGAATAGAAGCTGATAAATTCGAGATGACTTCAATTCAAAAGGTTCGAGAATCATCATAAATGGACAACTCTGATGAGATTGCGCTATTGCTAGGCTGTTGAAATCGTCCGTGAGGTGCCGGCTGATGCACCCGAGGAGCTATCGAGGCGGTTGCTGGCGGCCTTAGAGGAGTCTCTAGACATGTGCATTGGCGAGCTGGCTAAGGAAGGGTAGTTATATAAGAGGTAGTTGCTGTCCATGTTCCGTTGTAGATCTTCGAAGACCACGTGTCGGTGGAGACCTATAGTGCCCATATCGGACACTTACCTTAGTCTGATGCCAGCCCAAGGGTTAGCTAGTGCGGTCGAGGTGAGGAAGGAGGAGGTCGGCAGGATTTGATGGAACTGAACAGGTGGTGTCATCTCGTATACTATCAGCAAGACGGTTCCTACATGGTAGAGTGGAAAGCAGAGTGAGTGCCCTGCCGGCCACAGCGACAGAAAAGGAGGTGAACTATGGGAGTATCTTAGGTTCACTCGACATGGATTCAAATTAGGTCAAGATGGCAGCTACTGGGGACTCCTCCTTTACTTTGCAAGTTGTGATGGTATTAAGTAGAGCGCTGGACAGGTTGGACTCATCGAGGCCTCAAGATTGGGCCACTCGGGCTAAGGCTGCGGGGTAATAGCAATGTTGGCGTGGGAATATATGTTCGCTTGCCTCAGCTGAGCTCGGGAGTTTTCTCACTAAGTATAAGAGTTAACATACGAACTCGAGTAGAAATGCACATAGCTCAATAGGAATATACCAAAATTTCCTCAGAATCTTCATATCGTCACCGACACATGCGGTTGACCATATGCGTTTTTCCCCAGGAATGATGCGTTTGCTTTCCTCAGCTGAGCTCAGGAGGAGTTTCCTTACTTATTATAGAAGTTTATATACGACTTCGAAAAAGAGTGTACACAAATCGAGAAAAATTTCCCAAAATTTTCTCAGACTTTTAGCCTATGTTGATCTTTGCAACTTCCAGGTCAATCGAGGATATTCTCCCGATGGACCTCAAGGCTCTTTGCCACGTTTACAGGACGCCTTTTAACGGGCATTGGACTACCATCGATGCGTCATTGGCTGCCCAGAAGGATCCAGAGTAGTATACCCTTCTCAGCCGCATAGTAGCACGCTTCGTTTGCTTGTAGTGCGTCCAGCGTCAGCGAGGAGGAAATGAAAAACCTTTGGGAACTGTGGGAGCGCATATGGCCTGGCGATACGAAAAACTTATCGGAAAAAGAAAAGAAGGATTGCGTGGTTGATCTGATGAAAGTAAGCTTGTTATTTCAGGCGAAGAATTCACCTATAGTTTACTTAGGCGAGAGCGTTCATATCGCAAATACAGTATGCACTTCGTCAAATGCCAGAACGGCCACAGGAGACCTCGGGACCGTTTAAGACGCCTTCTGATGTCAAGCAACTCACAAACGACCTCCGCAACGCTGTGTATTCCGTTTTACATGTGGGGAAGATCTGTTGGACTTTCTGTTGATGTTGTTCGGATGGTCAGGTTACTAAGCCCGGGGCAGTAGGAGAGCCTAATGCTATCAAGCGTGCTGACGTCCCTGTTGAGTGAGTAGTAGTGGAGTAGGTGTTCCTGGGAGGTTTCGTGTTAGATTTTCTGTCCAAGCTGCGAGTCTTCCGGAGCTGGCCTTGGCCCTCACAGACTATACGGTGATGCGGCGGATGGCAGCACATATTCTCATCAAAGCCCATAGTGCTTGCAACCGTATTTGGGACTGCAAGAGGGTGAGCTGGAGGAGGTCTCGGGTTCGACCCTCGCATGTGTCATTTTTCCACGAACAGGACACCCCGGACTTCCGAGCACAGCTGCAACACCGAAGAGAAGTGTTCCATCCAGTCGTTGATCTACGCCGTATGATCCACAACGTATTCGGGTCGAGTTTCTCTAGTCTAGCCGACTACCTCCTGCGGAAGGAGACCCATTGGTTGGGCTGGAAAGGCATTGCTGTGAGCAAAGTACTACTACCACTTGGGAAAGCCGTACAGGTGGTGACTTCCTCATTCAGGAAGTTTGCGGTCCATTTTTGCACTCCACGCACAGGGAAAGATTCGGCACGCCCTGGCCACCCTCGTGTCAAACTAAGGCTGATGTCGTGATCGGTGATGATACATTACCAACGAAGAGGAAGAGCGCTGACCGATCCAGTGGTAGGGTAGCTGCGGTGACACCCTTGGTGACACGTTTTTATAGAGTCTCCCTCTCCTCCTCCCTCGAAGAGAACGCGACATAGTAAGGCTGTCCCTAGGCATGTCGAGAGGATGTTGCAGATGCTACATGAAGCGGTGAGTTCCCCATGTTGGAATATATGCTCGCTCTCCTCCTCAGCTCAGCTCAGATGTTTTCTCACTAGTTATACAAGCTTACATATGAATTTGGGTAGGAGCATACAGGAATCAACGAGAATCACCCAAAATTTCCCCAGAATTTTCATTTGTAGTTGACCGTGTGTATATTTTTTCACACTGGTGGCTTCATTAGAGTTTCACAACCCGTTTTACGTGAAGTAGAGCGTAAAACTCGATGAAAACGCGATATTCGCGTGAACTAGTGTTTTTCATATCACTAGGGTGAAACTCCGATGATTGCCGTCCATAGAGTTGTTCATGCAGGCGGATGCTTCGGCTGTCTCCCCGTACGCGCCCTCCCCCGAAAGTAGTCCGGCTGGCAGTGACGAGGAAGTAGAGGAGGAGAGTCAGTGTGAAGTAAGTGTCAGCGGATGTGTGTAGTTGGTGAATTTCGGAAATTTTCAGAAGTACATGAATAAGGTGATGCAACACGACGATCCTGAGGAGGGCATTGAGGAGGACTATCGCTGCTACAACAACAAAATATTCCAATGGCAGCTACGGAGGATGCTGGCCCGATCGGTGAGGTTTTTGACAAGTCCTCGTGGGGAAGTGATATTCTCCTTAGCACATTGAGTGCTATAACAAGAAGGCTGCGCCGGTTAGCAATGACGCTGCTAAAGATGAGCTTATCGAACTCGTGTATCGGTTGAA